TTGTAAGGAACTATATAGAATAAGGAAAAAAATTAATTCAACTAACTGAAGATGAGAAAAAATTTCATCATACAAATAAATACTTAAAAAAAAAAAACCAAAAAAAATAACCTTACTAGGAGAGCCTCAAAAGGCCTCCAAAGTATTACTAAACCTAAGTAGCTCAGGCCTCTAGGAAACACAAAATTATCCATCTTCAAGACTTAATATAAAGCTAATCAAGACAGTATGGCAAAAGAATAGACAAAGAGATCAATGTACACATAGTCAAGTGATCTTCAATAAAGGAGCAAAGACAGTAGAGTAAGCGAAGATTATCTTTCCAACAAATGGTGCTGGAACAACCGGATATCTACAAACAAAAAAAGGAATCCAGACGTTGACCCTACACCCTTCACAAAAATTAACTCAAAATGTCCTAGAAGATAACACAGGAGAAACCCTAGATGACCTTGGGTATGACAATGACTTTTTAGAAACAACACAAGTTATAGGACAAAAAAACCCAAAACAACAACAAAAAAGAAACAACATAAGATATAATCCGTAAGAGAAATAATTAATAAGCTGGACTTCATTAAAATTAAAATTTCTGCTCTGTGAAAAACAATGTCAAGAGGGTAAGATAAACCACGGACTGGGAGAAAGTATTTGCAAATGACACATCTGATAAAGGACTGTTATCTAAAGTATACAAAGAACTCTTAAAACTCAATAAGAAAATGAACCCAATTAAAAATGGGCAAAAGATCTTAAAAGACACCTCAGCAAAGATATACAGATGGCAAATAAACATATGAAAAGATGGTTAATATCATGTCATTAGGAAATTGCAAATTAAAACGAGATACAACCATATACCTATTAGCATGGCCAAAATCCAAACCACTGACAACACCAAGTACTGGCAAGGTTGTGAGGCAACAGGAACTCACATTCATTACTAGTAAGATAGCAAAATTATACAACCATTCTGGAAGACAGTTACGAAGTTTCTTAAAACCCTAAACACACTCTTACCATACAATCCAGCAACTGCACTCCTTGATATTCACCCAAGTGACCTGAAAACTTTTGTCCACACAAAAATCTACACACAGATGTTTACAGCAGCTTTATTCATAACTGCCAAAACTTGGAAGCAACCAAGATGTCCTTCAGCAGGAGAGTGGATAACGATGGTACATGGAGACAATGGATTATTCAGTGCTTAAAGAAAAAAAAGAACAAGCTATCAAGCCATGAAAAGAAGCCATGGAGGAAACTAAATGCAAATTACTAAGTGGAAGCCAATTTGAAAAGGCTACATACTGAATGCTTCCAACTAAATGACTTTCTGCAAAAGGCAAAACTATGCAGACAATAAAAAGATTAGTGGTAGCCAGAGGTTGGGTGGGGGTGATAAACAGAGCACAGAGGATTTGGGGGCCATAAAACTATTTTGTATGATACTACAGTGGTGGATATACGTGATTATTCATTTGTCAAAACTCACAAATGCACAACACTGAATAAACCTAATGTAAACTATGGACTTTGAGTGATAATGTGTCGATGTCAGTTCATTGATTAAAACAAGTGTACCACTCTGGTGGGGGATGTTGATAGTGGAAAAGGCTGTACAAATATGGGAGAAAAGAGTATATGGGAACTGTACTTCCTACTTAATTTTGCTGTGAACCTTAAACTGCTCTAAAAAATAGTCTATTTTAAAAAGTTAAAAAAGAGAGAGAGAGAGACTGATAGACACCTTAAAAAAAAATCCAAATAAGGTCTGTAATCTGGCTTAGCATTTCTGGAGGTAATAAAATTTACATCTCTCTATAAAAAAATACTTTGGGACTCTATGTCCTTTAAAATATGACAGGCCTAATTTCTAGGGGGTTCTGTATACCGTGCTCAAAGTTTCAGACATAGAAGATGAAAATATTCTGATGAGGGAATGCACAATTAAAATTACCTTCTTAAAAGAGTCAACTATGAAAATTAGTACATATAGTCTGATGTAAGATGATCTAGTACGGGAAATAGGATCCAAAGAGATAATTCAGGGGCACCTGGGTGGCTCAGTTGGTTAAGCGACTGCCTTCGGCTCAGGTCATGATCCTGGAGTCACGGGATCGAGTCCCGCATCGGGCTCCCTGCTCAGCAGGGAGTCTGCTTCTCCCTCTGACCCTCCTCCCTCTCATGCTCTCTGTCTCTCATTGTCTCTCTC